AAAACTTAACCAACAATGTAGAAATGTCCTTGTAAAATTTTTATAAAGTCTTGAACAATAATGTTAATAATTTGTTGTAGAGTCATACACACTCTCAAAGTTATTGTCAACATCATCATTGAGAAATTTACACTTTCACTAACAGCAACACTTAGCCCTTAGTTCTAAAACCTTCAAGTTACAATCTAGTTGGGAAGTAAATACATATAGCACTTTAATATATTATTTTTTTAATCTTCTAAACTCATATTACTCAAGTCATTCTTCAATGGAATTCCTTACACAATTAAGCTGTAAATTGAGGCAAATGATTAATGGTAATCATGTGCTTTCAATGGGTGAGCAATCACTCAAAGAAAGTCTCTCCAAAATGGGTTATCATGATCAAGTACAATTCATTCACCAAAAGAAAAAGAGAAGAATAAAAGTAACGAGTTTATAATAGTTTAGAAACAATAAATGTTGACGAACAGTAATTGCGGGGTATGCATATATATATATATGGGGCCATCATTTCATATGATTCATATATATATATATATACACAAAAGAAAAAATAACTCAACGCGCGTTCCAAAAGAAAAAGAGATTTTTTTTTTTTTTTTGAATTTGTAAAAATTGATTGATGAACTAACATGTGGGTCCTAAAAAAAATGCAGATAGTTTGGATTTATAGAGTAGATTTAAAAGAGTATTGTACCATTTGCAATGATTCAATTTTTTTTACACGGTTTTCTTTTTTCACTTCGTTACTTTTTCCTTAGTCGTATGGTAATTCAAAATCTTTCATGACTGCTAAGGTGTGTTTAATTCATACGTATGTAATTTAATTCCTATATATAAAATTTAACCAAAGTTACATATATTTGATGTATAATTAAATGAACTTTGATTATTTGAAAGAGTAGATGTATATAATTTTATATTGTCACCGTACCATATTAACATGGATGTATAGTGCTTACCAAATTAGAGGAGCATATATGTGTGTGTGTGTGTGTGTGTGTGGGTGTATTACATCAATATGGCTGGGCATGAGGAAGAAGAAATCTAAACCGTTTGATATGTGTAAAGGATTCCCAAGATCATGGTTTGTGGTGCTAGATCTTGCCCACACTAGTGAAGCACAAGAGGACCACAATCAAAGTGCAGGCTTTCTTTCTATGGTGCTGTTTATACCCCACCACTACCATTATACCATATATTATATATATATATATATATATATATATATATATAATATTTACTCATATACATATCTCCAAGCTATGTATGTAGATATTGTAAGTAGTGGGATAAAAGTGTATTAATGTGGTTGGGTGATAGTGAAATGAAAGTAGGGTTTTTGGTAGCATCTTGGTCTGTATCCATCACAAGGGTGCACCTCTGAATATATATGTCCCTTTTTTGCACGACACCAATTCCTATCCCAACAGCTCTTGTTTCCACACAATATCCCTCCCACTTTATGCTCTTTACTATATTTCCGGATCTTATACACACAAACATAGACGTATATATATATATATATTGCATATCTATGTATATACATGGGTGTCAATTCTTATTGCATTATGTCATGGAATCATGCATGATGAAGCACATGACCATCATGATGATGATGAAATATGTATCATCATTATTTCTCATCTCTAGTTACATAATTAGTTTATTTATATATATATATTCAGTTGCCTCCAAGTGTGTGTATATATGTGTTTGCTGGTGAATTGAGGTTTGTTTTTTGGCCTTTTGGTTTTTCCATTTCAGTGATAGAAATTAAAACTATAATCATCAGCCAAGCCTTGACCTGGCTTGCATATTAATTATGACCCGATATTATTATTATTCTTTGCACGCTTCCTATTTATATAATCTCTCAAAAAATTTTAAATAAAAAACCACTAATGATGGATTCAACTTAAATAAAATTCTAAATTAATATATTAAATCAATCAATATAAATAATTTAATATAATTAAAAATTTAATTTATTAATTTTATGAATTGGGGAATTTGATATGATAGGGGTCCTACAGGCTATAAGGGTGTATAAGTAATGGTTTTTTATTAGATGATTGGACCACAAAAAAAAAAAATGGTGGCATCATGCTTTTTGGATTTGCATACCAAGTTTGAAAGAACAAAATTCAGTGCTCTTCACTTGTTAAATAAATCATTACTCTACCTTCAAAACTTTTCCTCCTCCATTTCCGTAATATCCCAAAAACTTCCTCCAAATGCCTCTGCAAATTAATCTTCCCAATCTACTGTATTGTAACTCATCTTTGTAGGTTCATTTCGTCTTGTTGTTCTATTCTGTATGTTGTATATTTTATAATAAAATATTATTTTTTACCTATTAAAAAAAATAGATATATGTACACACACACACGTACGTACACAATCCATTAAAGAATAGGGTTTCAATTCCTGTAATCACTAGTTGGACTTTTGAGTAAAACTGTGAATTACACATGTATATATGCGCATTCATTGTTGTTTTCTCTCAGTAGTGGAAAATTGATTTCAATGTCACATGGACTCAACTACGAGGGTGTCCATAAAGGACAATTCAATTAGTGCTAAGGACACACCCATATACCCCACTCCTACATGTGTGTGTGTGTATGTATATATATCTAACCCCGGAGGGCCAACTTGTTTGGCATGAGAGTTTACAGCTATCTCAAGATGATCTGGTGCCTGTAAGAAAGTGGGTCATGAAGTTGTCGTCTGATCAGAAAATTAGGGTTTTGGGTCCCCCCATGCAAAGGAATAATATTTTTCTTCAATTAGTCATTTTTCGTATGTTATGTGCATTTCTTTTTTATTTTCAAAAAGTAAAAGGGTGATTTATTACTTTTATATTAAAAAAGCTAATAAATTTTTCATGTGTTACGTGATTTCATTCTGCTTTTAGTTTTATTTATATATATATTGAAAATTATTATTCTTATTTTTTTTTTTTTGAGTTTTGAATTTTGAATGATACTCCTTTTCTAGACAGAGTGAGAATATAATTTGAATTCCAAATTCTCAATTTTATTATCAAATGTGGTTATATCATTTGAATTATATATTATAAATTTAAAACTAATTGTCTAGTTGACCATGATTATATATTTGAGTATATGTGTTGTTATTATTTTTCATTTTGAATTATTTATTTTATTGATTAAATTTATTTATTAGGAAAATAAATCTTAATTAGTGCAATTGCTTGTTGTAAAATCCGATCCAACAATGCCCTAATTGCTAAAAAGTTTTGAAGGCATAATTTTTTTCAATATTTTATAATATTATATATATATGTGTATATATCAAATTTGGAGCATCTATTTAATTATTTAATATAATTAATTAATTAATTTTTAAAATTATTAGTTATAAGTATTTCTATTAATTGATAATTAAAGAAACTCTCAAATGTGAATAGACCATATCCTATTAATTGATTAAGTAGACGGAAAAGACGCATTAGTTGGTAGATAACTATCAATTTTAAAGCAAAGTAAATTACAAACAAAACGACCACATCCATTATTTTCCTTGTTGATTACAAAAGTAATATATTTTATAATATTATTTAATTAGCAACACAGAGTTTTACACGTACGTTATATATATATATATATGTGTGTGTGTGTGTGTGTGTGTGTACGTAATAGAACTTTTGTGCAAATCTGAGTCAGAACTTAAAACGAATAGAGCATGGCACATAACATGGTATAATATTTGATGGGGCAATTACTGGTGTGGTGTCTGTCTAGAATTAGCCATTGGGTTCTTTTGGGTGTCAAAGCATAACTTGGAATCATATTGTGGTCCTTTTAAATTTGCTTGCATAGTATATATAATATGTATAGATATGTACGTATGTGTATGTGTGTGTGTGTATATATATAAATGGGTAGCAAAGAAGGGAAATGAATTGCACTTTGGTTGGTTGAAAATTAAGGAAGGCGCGCACATCATACCTTTTTTTTTTTTTTTTTTATCTTTTATTTATTTATTTATTTATTTTTGCTTGCTTGTTGTTATCATTTGCGTCTTTGTCATTTCTTCTTTAACCTTTAATAACTTGTTAATTGAGCATGCATCCACTTACATATGCATCTCTCCATGTACGTACATACACACACACACACACACATATATTATAATTTAAATATTATGTATAAATATTATACATGGGGAATATGTTAATTTTAAAATTAAAAAAAAAATTACAAATTAATTACTTAAATTGGATGATAAGAAATATAAATATTATAAAATTAGACAATTCTTAATGCTTGTTATGGAAAAATGAATTAGTATTAAGGGACACAATAATTTTCCAAAGCTTAAAAAAAAAAAAAAAAAAAAACCATTAAATTATTTTCCAAAAAACCATTAAACTATCAAAAAGGTACATCTAAACTGAATATACTTTTTCCGGGCCCAACTACAATGAATAAGAGGCCCGGTCCAATAAATTCAGATTTAAATTTGGGCCGGTTCAGAAAAGGGTAATTTTGTCATTTCATTATGTAAAGAAACATGCGAAATTCTGTCAACAAACCGGAGTCAATTTCCCAAATTTTTTTCAAAAAGGCAGTTCCTTTTCGGCCACTCAAATAACGGAATCCGCTTAGAATGACCACATTGCCCCTAATCGTTTCAAATATTTAAGCTCAAGTTTAAAATTCCACCCTTGTAATTAACGCCATTTTCAAGGGTAAAAGTATCCACCCATCATTGTCTCGAGTCATCGAAAGGCGAAACTGAAACCAAGTCCGCAAACAGTGTAGAGTCCATTTTGTACACGGCCTCAACCGATTGAACGTCGTCGTTTTTATCCAGCACGAATATGAATGGAAGAACACGTTGGTCATTTAAAAAAAACCGTCTTACAAAACCGTCAACTCAAAATCAACTCAATTTTCTTTTTTTGCAGTTAAGTCAGGTAGGTACAAAGAAAATAAAAATCAAAACTTTGAAAAACCCAAGAGGACCCAAAAAAAAAAACTGAAACTTTAGCATTATTTCATCATGAGAGAGGAGACCCTCCATCAAAACCATGAAGAGTCGCCACCAACCGCCGCCGACTCGGAACTCGGTGGAGCTTCTGGTGGTGGTGCAGGTGGAGCTGAGACGGAACTCGGTGAGTTGGGAATCGGAGAAGGCAGCAGTGGAGTTGCTGTTGGTGGTGGTGGTGGTGGTGGTGGTGCTGTACCAGTTGGTGGAAATAGAGTAAAAGGTCCATGGTCGCCCGAGGAGGACGAGGTGCTGACTCGACTGGTGGGGAAGTTCGGGGCGAGGAATTGGAGTCTGATCGCGCGAGGAATCCCGGGTCGGTCCGGGAAATCGTGCCGACTTAGGTGGTGTAATCAGCTCGACCCCTGCCTCAAGCGGAAGCCTTTTACTGGTAATCTTAGATTTTATTTTGTTTTTCCCGTGAATGTTGCTGGTTTTATGAGTTTGTCTGTTGGGTTGCTCTTCTGTGTGCTTGTGGGTTATGGGTTTTGGGAAGTGGGTCTGTCTGCTTGGTTTTCTTGTTTTGTTGGGTGTTTTCTTTGGTTTGCTTTAATGGTGGCTGCTTGGTGTTTGATTGCGTCTAGGTTCCTGCATTGTTGTGTTTGTTCTTGAGATTGATTGTTTTTTTTTTGGTTGCTATATGATGTTGTTGTTGATTGGTGATGTTTATGCTGTTTGTTTATTTTTCTGTGTGTTATCATTTTCATAGCTTTCTTCTTCTTGTTTTTTTTTTCCAGAAATTCCTCTTCTATCCAGTTATGTAGTTCTTCACATAGAACCAAATGAGAATTGTGTGTTAATAACAGATTTAAGTTTTGAAATCCGGAATCCGGATGCAGATTCTTGGCATTAAATCAATTTTTATTTTGGTTTTTGTGTTCTTCTCTATCATGGAGCTGGCAAGTCTGGAGTTATTGATGTATGACTCTCCATAGTGTAGTTGATTGCAATTGATTGACGAAAGAAGCTCTGGAACAATATACATTGATGTCTTTCTCCATAATGTAATTGATTGCGATGGATTAACAGAAGAAGCTCTGAAATAATATACATTGATGTGTACTTTTTATTCTTTTCAAATCATTTAGTTGCTACATTGAACTTATTTTGAAACTTAGACTGCTTTGCATTGAGCTTTTTTGGGTTCAGAATATGGTACCATTAGATGTCTGCTTGATGTCATTGTGCATGCTCTATCCCTTTGAGGGGTCATGAGGAAGTAGATTAAAGATGAATAGGTCCTCTTCTTGACATTCCTGTCCTACTTATGTGTGTAGTTATCAAGTTGGCTGCTTTTCAATTGACCCTCATTCTATTTTTTTATGCTAAAGGTTATGAATTTCAGAAAGGTTACAAGTTTTGGCAACTGCGCTCTAAAATAGTTTCCTTGAGATGAAAGGAGAAAAGAAAGTATGGTGATAATGCTGGTTCTAATTGATGCATTTTTAGCTTGAACGGTTATTAAATCTTTGGAAATACATCTTAACTGCAATTTTCTTGGGATCAAGAAGATCAAATTACATGATTGATGGGCATTTAGAGTAATAATAATCAGGTTATGGTACACTATAGTCTTGGACTTATGATGAAACTCATACATGCATGATTCATTGTAATACAATGGGGTAAACTGGTTAAGAAAGAGGAGGAAAAATTTTCAAGGTCATGGCAAAAATGAACTAGGCTATAATATGCTCAACACCATCCAGTTGTCTTCCACTATAATTTGTAATCTTAGAAATGGGTTTTTTTACTTGAAAATGCAATTATATATGGATCATAACAATTGAACTTCTTATTGCAGTTGGTCTTTTGTTCTGCCTATCTCTTTTTGTTAATTCACAATCCTTGTTCTAGCTATCTTGGTCATGCAAAATTTTGCAGCACTTTTGTATGTTAATAACCTGGGTCATTTATAATGATTTCATCATGCATATCTGAACAAATGCTTTTCACATCCTAAGGAGCCTTGGCATGTTTGCACTTTGGAGCTATATCTGTCACAATGGTGTAAGTTCAGAAAAATGGGATCCTAATGGAAAATATGTTGGTATATCTATTTATGAGAAAACAAAGGTCTTTATTGAAGGAAGGAGGTGTTAGGAGCTTCGAACATGAACTCTGCTGTGAATTTGTGTGAGATAGTGAGAGAGGGAGAGAGAGATAAGGAGTTTTAAAGGTGACTAGAAAGGAGAGAAAAGAAAGGTTTTAGAGTTAGAATGAGAGAAGAGAAGGGAGAAGAGAAGATGAGAGGAGAGAATTTAGAAGGTGTTCTAAGATTGCTCGTTAATTCAGAAAGTTGTAGGCAAACTTCTATTATGCCCGTTACATGGCTGCATTCTCTTAAATTCTACTCTAGTGCGGCAATAGAGAAAAATCTAACAAAGCATAACGGGAAGGAAATCCTAATAGCACTCTCCACAGCTGTAGAAGTCCCAGCTGAAATAACAAACATTATTCCATTTCTGAATACCCAAATCTGGTATTGTAAGCTCACCTCAGCAGATCTTTTTCTCTTCTTTTGATAAGAAACCTGGAGTGCTTGCCACCTCCCTGAATAGTCATTTTACCATTTTGATCCGAGTCTTTTAGGGTCTTAACAGGAGGTCAGTTGGAGTCCTCGAGTTATTCCGTCATAATTTATTAATTCTCAGTCTTATGCTTCAACAAATAAATAAAGTAAATCCCATCAATATGCATTTCGAATGATGCTAATCTAGTTGCCTGTTTGGTTCAATTCCTCTTTTATTTTAGCTAATTCTTATTTAAACTTTTCATAAGTCTTAACATGTAAAAGTACAACATAAATCTTACATTTAACTTATTCTCACTCGAAGAATTCAAGTTGGGAGTAGGGTAGTTCAAACATAAAAAATTTATTCTAATTACGCATATGGGAATATAATAAAAATTAATAATGGGAATTAACTATGAATGTGATAGGATTGTACCAAATAGGACTTACAAGGTGTATTGCATTAGTTTCCTATGATTCGCAATTGAGGATGGAATATGAATGCTTTTATGGACATGTTATACTACTCAGGATGCAATTTGACTGAATAGAAGAATTCACTTAACATGCTTTGATGAACTTTGCTTTTACAGAAAGAGAATGTATGCACCCAGTTTATTGCTCACAATTGTTTAGTTATGTGTCGTATGATTTGGATACCAAAAAGAAACTTCTATGCACAGTCATAGTAATCATAAAATCATTAGTCTGCACGGCATATGTTAAGTATTATAAGTTGTCAAGCGAGAACTGTAAATTAAGCATGGCTACTAACACCTACAGGGGTTTTGATTTAACTAAGCTCCAGCTGTGTTGTGCATTTTAGTTCTTTCCTGTAAGGTACACTTCTCTAACTTTATCTCAATATAAACCATACTCAAATAGACTCCCTTCCTTCCGGTGGCTAAACCATTCTTTAGCTATTGATGAAGAGCAACACAGGTTTGAGGGGTCACAAGATCAATCACCCTTGTACCATGACTTTGATAAACCAAAACTATGAATAGATCGATGCATACTGTCTCGCTATAAAAATTTTCAACCATTACTATACATGCAAAGGGGAGTTTGTCACTCTTTCAATATCTTCAAACTTTAGCTTTTTAACTATTTTGCTTGTATGAGAGGGTTAACCAATTTTAAGCTCGTGAAAGAGGACTAAAATGGTAAGGTGGATATTGACATAGAATCTTTAGTTAGAGCTAAACTAGCATGAATTCTCACCTAGTTGAACTCTAGTTACAGGGCAGTGCTTTGGTCAACATGGTTGTCTTAATTAGAAGATGGAAAACGATACATTTCTATCTCTCATAGCGTGTAGAACAAGTATTTCTTGTTTGTTTCAAGATCTTGTTGGGTGAATGAAAGAACATAAATTTTTATAGTTTTTACTGCTGATTAAATTTGAATGAAGCATCTTGAGCCACCAGACTAGTCATTCCTACTTCTAAATATGACAACCCAGTAGTGCATCAAGAAGACAAGAAGGTTCATACTTCATCACCATGTATATAGTATCCATCTGTCCCTGGTAGTGGTATGTTGGTATTTTTACTTTTTCAAAGCTAATTATTTAGCGAATGATCAATAAGATCATCTCTCATCATATCGTGAGGCATTCATTTGCCCAAAACTTTTAGTCAAGAAATTAGTGAAATTGCACAAGCACCGGACTTCCAGTTCCTGTATCCTATTCACGTACATGATATTTTTCTGCTGTTGGTCTGAGTGCTAAAAAGGTTCCGGAGAAAAAAAAGATTATAATTTCGGACCTGCGTTTTTATATTCCCCTGCTCTGCAAACATATGGCTTTTCTTTCTGCCTGAATTAGAATTGATTTCCTCTTTTTTTCCTTGTGTGAACTCTGTATAGATTTTGCATTTCATGATATCTTAACAGAACTGACTTGCTGCAGATGAAGAGGATCGGATTATTATTTCAGCGCATGCAGTCCATGGGAATAAGTGGGCAGCAATTGCAAGACTGCTACCAGGTAGAACCGATAATGCAATCAAGAACCACTGGAATTCTACGCTAAGACGCAGATATGCAGATCTTGGGAAGCTTAGACCACCGCCCAGTGAAAAGATGGAAGCCATTGCCATTGAAAGAACCAAGGCTTCATCAGAGGAGACCCTTTCGCCTGGAGAGGTCAATCCATCTAAGCACCTGGAAGGAAGTGATGTGATAATGGAAGATAGGCCCAACCAGGCTGACGAAAAAGGTCAGCCAGAGATTCAACTTGCTTCTGAACAAAATGGCGATCCCATTCCTCCTCGTCCAATGGCACGCGTTAGTGCATTCAGTGTTTATAACCCTCCAACTGATCCAAGAACTGTCTCTGGGATGCAAAGGACTGTCCCATGTCGTGGCCCTCTTGTTCAGTCATCATCCAGACCAGATTTTGTGGTTGCCAGACTTCTCAAGGAACTTGAAGGCGAACCTACAGTGCCCTCCCAATGTGGGTACGGCTGCTGTGCAACTCCAAGTGGTGGCCATCATTCTCAAACCTCATTGTTGGGGCCTGAGTTTGTCGAATACGAGGAGACACCATCTTTCTCAAGTCAAGAACTGATATCAATAGCTACAGATTTGAATAACATTGCATGGATCAGGAGTAGCGTTGAGAGTAGCAATGCTGCTAGCCAAAGAATGCCTCAAGGTTCAGCTTCTGGCTCGCAAATTGGAATCGTCAAAGAACACAACATGAGAAATGATCATTCGCTGTTCGATGATGGAAGGAATAATTTGATGGGTATGATGGCCGATGTTATATCAACTCAGATGCCTAGACAAACATTTTGCCATGCAAGCTGAGATTAGAGTGGGAGAGTAAATTTTTGAGCTTTGATATTGTGCTCTGTTTCCCCTGTTTTGGTTATACTTCTTGCATAGTAGGAGGATGGTATAAGAATCAAAATTGACGAGTCTTTCTTGAGTGTATGCTTTTGAGTATGAAAGTCTGGAATATGTGCTTCTTTAAAGAGGCTCTTCATGTAATGTCCCTAGCAGATAGTTATAATAGACATTTGTTTAGTATATAAACAATCATATGAAATATGGTTCTCAAATATGTTAAGTTAGATCAAGTACTTGGAAGAAAAGCAGAGATTTCTTCAAGTCAATCTAAATTTTTACATTGAGTTTAATTGGAAGTTCAATTTCACAGAACACAATACAAATGGGGTAAAATATGGAATGAAAATAATATTTTATATTTAAGTCATTTATTTTGTTTTTTTTTTTTTTTTGTAATTTTGTTCTTGATAAGTAGGTATTTACCCTTGAAGAACCCTAAAATTAATTTTCCTTTTAAAAAAAAAAAAAAAAAGTGGGTTACAGAAATAATGGAAACCAATTCCTGGGTGTGTGTGGATCTGGGTAGTAAGTAGTTGGCCCTCCATGTTTTGTTTGTTATTAATTATTGTACACAGAATAATGTAATCCTCCTCTCCCTGCCTACTGCTGGCACTGTCAGATATAACCTCTCCACTCCCTCTTACAAATTGTCTTCCTTCTTTTTTTTTTCTTTCTTCTCCAAATTGTTTTCTTTTTAATACAAAAACATATGAATTTTATTCCCCTACTTGAAAATTACAAGTATAAATTGAATTGAGTACGTTAGACTCCTATTTGTGAGAAATAAAATAGGAAGGGGCAATCTTGACATTTCCAGAGACAATGTGTAGGGTCCAGTACCTCTTCCAAAATCTGGGTTTGCTGCTGGTGATGTCCATGTCTGTCAGGCTATATATATTATTAAATAATTAAAATATATTTATTATTAAAAGAAAATGAAGAAGACAAATAAAAATCTGCTTTTTTGACACATCAATCATCATATCAGTTTTATCTAATGCCTGTCTGAGGAAAAACAAACAGTTCTTTTAGGTCACTTCAATCAATTTCATCATCCCATGAAAAATCTTCTTCCCCCTTTTTTTTTTTTTTTTTTTTTTTTGCATTTTAACTTTCAAAAATAATTTAATTACCCATTTAAGTAAATTAATCTTTGTTGCTTTTAGTAATTCTTTTAGGGAATTGAGAAAAAAATTCAGTAAAATAGTTGGAATCAAATTAGGTCATATAAATAAATATATTAGATTTTTTTTTTTAATTCATAAAAAATGTTATAAGTTTATTAAGATTTTCCTAAAGCAATAGTTGTTTTAAATTTCTAATTAAATCATTTAAAAAGTAGACTTCATGTGTATAATTTTAACAATATATAATGGTTATAATTATTTTTGTTTGCAAAAAAAATAATTATATATATATATTATCTTAATAAATATAAAGGGGAAGGGATAAAAGTAATGATAATTTTTATATTTTATCATTATTTAAATTCAAACATTTCTTTTTTGTATTATATATCTTTTTTTAAAGAAAAAAAAAACTACTTTTAGTGTTTAATTAAATAATTTCACAAGAGAAAATTAATTAGAATTTAAACTAATTCAAGCATTTGAGTAGGAAAAAGAAAAGAGAAAAGAAACAGCTATCTTTTTTATTTCACTAATATTTTTCTGCTGCTCTCTGTCTAAAACCTGTATTTTTTAAGTAGATCTTTCATCATCTCTCTCTCTCTCTCTCTCTGGTATACACTGTTCAAACCTGACAGTGAGGAAAAGAGAGAGAAGGAGCACCTTACCACGGCAATGCTCCTTGTTAAATATCTAACCAGAGGAATTTTCTCTTCCTTGCTCACTGCTACAGGTTTCACAGAGAGTTTCATCTTCGTCTTCCACCTTCGGCAGTGAAGCATTGATGATCTGCACCTCACAGAGCCATTACATGAAGATTCCCCGTCTGGGTCATGAAAATGGCAACTCCAGAAAAAACCCATTTTGTTGTTGTTGATGATCTTGATAAAGAAGAAGAAGAAGAAGGAGAGGAAGAACATAGCCGTAGGACTGGTGGTGGTAGTTGCCGGAGCTCTGGCGTCGGAACAGACTGCAGGGTAGGTCGTGGTGAGGAAGAGGAGGAAGAAGATGAGCGGAGAACTGAGATTGTGAAGGAGAGGACATCGTCATCATCTTCTGTCTCGGATTGTTCAGTAGAGGTGGATCTGGAATGTGGGGTGACTGAGGTTAAGGTACATTTGGCAAAAGTTGAGAGGGATTGCAGGATTTGTCAGCTGAGCATGGATGCATCTAATCAAGAATCTGGTGTGCCTATTGAGCTGGGTTGTTCATGCAAAGATGATCTTGCTGCTGCTCACAAGCAATGTGCTGAGGCTTGGTTCAAAATTAAGGGAAACAGGTGAAGTAAAACCCTAATGGATAAATCAAAGTTTTCATTTTTACTCTAGTCTTTCTTGTTGAATTCTTGTAGGTTATGTACACGTTAAAAGTCTGAGATTAGGTCATTACAATGTTGTCTGAGTGAAATCTTTGCCTTTAGTTTATGTATTTTTTGGGATACTTTTACTTGATAGAGCTTTCTTTTTTTCTGGGTGTTTTGCATCCGTTTTTAAGGTTTCAATTTCTTGTTATGAGTGCAGATTGCAGAGTTCTTTTTATGTTGATTATTGGCAACTAAAGTAGCTAGACAATATACATGTTCTTGAGATTTTATCATTTTGGATGTGATTTAAATTGGGAATTTTCCATTGGTTCTACAAAAAGAAAATCTTGGTTTATTCCAAATATATCCTTAGTGGGCTGATGTTTTACACTCCTCACTTCTGAGTTTAATTATTAAATTTTGACTATTGATTTGTCTTCTATGCTGTTCAATGCTCTATTTATTGAGGTAGTGATTCTCTGAAATTTTTATTCTTGATCCTTTTAGCTTGGAGATGTAGTCTTTGATGCATACGCAATGTTGAAGAATATTCCGCTTTGAGATGCTAGCAAAAGAAGCTAGTTTAATGCAAGGAACAAATCGACAGGGACCTTACTTAAGAACCAATCTCTATTTTTTATATTAAAGAAAAAGTTGTTTCCATATATTCCAAATTAAGAGAATCAATTTTCAGACAGTTAAAAGAAGGAACCACTTCAATGTTCTTGCTTCTAGTTTCCATCTGTCACTCTTTGTTCTTTTCGAACTAGCTTACCTTCCCGGTATGACTTGTGGATTTTTTTCATATATGTATGTATTTACTAATATTAGTATTAATATGCTATTCCAGTATCTTGTTTTTCCTGCTTTAAAGTTCCAATTTGTTTAGCGCACAGATTCCTTCATAGGCTGACTTGAGGAAGTCAGATCCCTTTTGCCATTTGCCCATATATTTTATTCGAGGAGACATTTATAAAGTTTCCAACTTGTAGTATCAATAGTATGAAGTAAATGTGAATATATATATATAAATATATTGTATTAATCAATGGCCCAATAATTACAAGAACTTTTAGTGAGTGTACGACTATATGATCATTATGATTCTACATTTTGTAGAATCAATGGGACACCATGGCTATATGTTCAGAATGCTCTGCTCTTAACCTTGCAGCTAGAAACTGAATCATAGTTTCTATAGATTCCATATTTTGGATGTTTATTATTTTTTCTCTAAAGAGATGTAGTTAAGGTGATTCTTAATTGATAGGAAACTGTACGAACTTTCTTCTGTGCCAAAATTCTCTTATTGAATCAACATTTCTATTTTATCATTTCGCTGGGATGATTCACCCCATTCAACTCTTTGATTTCAGAAAGAATCTAGAACTTATTCCTGTGAAATGTCCACAAGCACATGCTTGTATTTTTTTTTTTCTGTTATCTGCCCGGGGCACTTGAGAACGAGCCTCCTTGCCGAGGCCATGGAATGTGAATTTACTAAGATCCATTATCTTTTTGGTGGTTAAGGCCAATTGGAGATAAAAGATGATGTTTTCTTTAGATTGTTTTTAAGAATTATGCAATTCTATATATATAATTTCTTTTGCATTCGAACTATTTGTATTTCTTGCTGATTCCTTGATTATCTGAAGGATGTTAATATATCACACATGAGGAACAATACTTATGTTCTTGTACTTGTTGAGATATATATACTTCATATTATGGTGGTCCTGAGCTGTTGCTTGAAGGTGTTTCCCATTTGTCCCTGAACCAAAAAAGGAAGTAATAGTTTCTGGTGCTTAGTTGATCTTCTGTGTGTTTATACCTGTATATACGAATATAGTAATATGAATCAAAGCAGTAAGTTGTGTAAATGATGGGGAACCAGATTGGAATCAGGAGAAATTCTTAGGCAGCATAAATGAATATTAGGTTCTCTTCAAATTCGGTCAGTAAATTGGTATTTTTATAGGGCTTCAAGAAAAAAGTGTTGGCAACTGATTACAAAGTATTAAGGTAGAATTTCACCTCCAAACTTCAACGAATACCGGGATGCTAACTGTTCTTCAAAGGAAAAAACTAGAAGATGGGAATCTAGGACATCAAGCTATGAATGAAACAAGAAGGTCGAAATAATGATATGCTTCGTGATTTTATTTAAATGTCAATTGTCCACCATTTTGAATGGAATAGAGATTATTCTTCTTTTGACTCTGTTTAGTTGCATATTCATTCCATCCACAACTTTGCAATTTTTTATTGAGTTGATTTACTGGCTTTTTTAAGGAAACCTTCTGTTGAATTGTATAAGTCACATTTCAAGATTGAATTTCAGAACCTGCGAAATATGTGGATCAACTGCTCGAAATGTTTCTGGTGCCAACGAGGCTGAACTGATTGAGCTGTGGAGTGATTCTAATGACGCGACAGCAGCAGCACCTGCCCCGGGACATCAAGCAGATAATCGAAGTTTCTGGCAGGGCCACAGATTCCTGAATTTCATGCTTGCTTGCATGGTGTTTGCATTTGTAATTTCTTGGCTTTTCCACTTCAATGTGCCCTCATGAGATTTCTACAGAAAAGAAAAAATGGTAATTCTCTTCTTAGCTTTTTGGAGCAGGTACCTCTCTGCAGTATCTCACCTCTTCAGACGTCCTTACAGTTTGCTATATCCCTCTGATCTACCTATTGTTCATATTAATATCAAAGTCTCGAACAAATGCATTATAAAGTTAAAAGTTACGAGATATTCACTTTCGTTTGAATCTGAACTAGTTTCCTGTATGGTTGCTGCAACTCTATTCACTTGGCAGCGTATATAGCGACTCCATTTCGTTTGAACGAATGCATTTGTGTTTTATGTACTTGTTGCTAAGAAAGACTATATAGCCATACAGAAATCTGGTATGGATCACATATTTTCTTTTCCAAGTTGTATATCGATCGATTCAACATTTCCATAGTCGCGATCAATTCGATATAATAAAACTTTTGTACGCAACCAACTCTCTGTATCTGAAGCAGAAGATTAAAGTTTTATTGTGCTCAATAGATTACTAGATAAAAATGGCAAGATTCCACCATGCTCTATATCGTGAAGCTATGAAGTGGAGGCTGAAGTGTTAAAGATGATATGATATGATATGATATGATGTATGTATATATATATGTATGAATTAAGATCATTTTATTAAAATACTATCCATTCCTCATAAAAGATTTAATTTTATTTACACCCAAAAAGAAAATCAAGAAGGAAAATTAGAAGACAAAAACACGTGCAAAGGATTAGAGGTGTAAGAATTGAGACATGACTTTCTGATTTGTTAAGTCAGAGCACGAGTTTCTCCGAAGAACAAGCCGTGATTAGCGTGGTCAGGTTTAGTCTTATTAATCTGCCATTGCCTTACAGCTTCTGCTTCTGGGACTTTTTAACTTTTAATTAATTTGTCCATTTATTTTGTTTCGGTGCTATATTGAATTTTTTTTATTTGTTTATTTATTGTTTTTATTTCCCACTAAGTGGGTGATCACTCATAATTTCTTTGGATCCCTCGATTGTGTGCGTGTGTATATATATATATATATATATATATATATATATATATATATGTAACAGACATGAATGACTGCGTGTGCAATGCTCATTATTTTTTTCTCAATTAACATATCTTGCATATTTTTATTAAAATTATATTACTTCATTATATATATATATCAAAAAGTATATAGAGTTGATATTTTATCATTACATTTATAAATTGATCATTGATTTATAATATTTAATTTAATAAAATTATAATTTAATTCATTAAAATTGTTTAAATAATATAATTACAACAATTTAATATTTGATTTAATCTTTGTTATATTAAAAAATATTTGCACGTATCTAAACTTCTTTAAAAGCATTAGTATGTGAAAATTTAAAGTTGAACAGATTAAATATTGATTATAACAATTGAAAAAAGTTACACGAAAATCGAAGTAAAAATAAATAAATGTTATTATCTATCAAGAATTTAATATAATTAATCACCAAACTAAACTAATCAATTAGTATAATACAAAAGCAAACATGATATGTATATTCTTGTCTTAGATTGCTTATTATAAGCAAATAATTAATTAGTTTTTGTGATTCCACTTCATGCTCTGATTGTCTTTACAAATCCAAGACAACCCTTTTGGCTTTACATTCTCTATCGTTAAATCAGGTGATCTTCAAATTAATTAAGCTTTAAAAAAAATTAAAACAGATTAATTATGTTTGCAAAATCCAACAAAAACTGAAAAGGAATCAAATTAGGTGATCCCATCTCATCTATGCCACAATTAAAATTATAAATATTTTCTGTTTGTCATAATTATACATTAGAAACTCAATATTTTGGTCTAAACCAATTTTGTGTAAATGTTAATTACGGAGCTAGTTGATTAAAACTTAAAATTTCCATGTATATATATATATATATATATGTCAAGGACCAAAAACCCATTAGTCAAAAAGCATAATTCAAAATGTAAATCACAAAATTTCTCTAAGAGGGGAAGTTGAAAATGTTGAAATTTCTAGTCATCATCTCCATTTCTGAATGTTCAAAGTTATGAAATCTATATGAAAAAAAAAAAGGTGTTACCCAATAATATGATCAAATCAAATAGTCAAAACCTTAAAAGCAATCATTAATTAGTTCCAAGTATATGTTCTCTCTCTCTTTTTTTTTGTATTAATTTGATTAATGGATCTAAGTAATTTGATTTGTATAATAATTACATCGGTTGGATAATTGATATTCGGGTTTAATAGCAGATTATTAAAAAAAAAAATAAGCAAAATAAAATTGAGATATAATCAATAAATTTCTTGTACATTTTTTTTTTCTTTTTCAAATCTTTACTTCAATTCAATTTCTCACTTGGATAAATAATTAACCATACAACTAAACGTGCATGGCATTATTGAGTCAATATTCTAATTAAGCTTCCTCTCAAAATATTTTAATTAAGCTCCTAATCTTATGATTTCTCTCTCTCTCTCTCTCTCTCTCTCTCTATATATATATATATATGTAGATATCTTTAAAATTATTATTTTTTTAAAAAAAAAAGTCTTGGTTTCTTAATCAAATCAAATAATGAAGATTAAATTCATTCAATCTGGAGATAGAAGCAAATGTGCCTCTCTGACGGCGACGACAATTAGATAATTTGGTTTCCCCTAACAACCATGCTTAATTAGAATTTTAATCAAGATTAATTTGGCCGGCTGACAACTTCCATGTTAATCAAATTAAAGCTTGTAAAATTTGTTGTTGATTGATATCCAATTTTGATTTTATTCTTTATTCGTAGTTAAGCTTTTACCATAGATTTGCTGTTGTTGGAAGCAACACAGAGTCAAAATCTTTTTTGCTACATTAATGTAAAATCTTTATCTTCCCCAATCAATCATTATTTGATTGATACTGAATTTAAGTTTGAGTTATAATATATGTTTTACTTATATATTTATTATAAAGTTATAAAATTATTGATTGTATTATTATTATTTACGCGTAATACAATTATTAAAAAAAAATATGCGAAACCTTTTATTTTTCAAGAAAATTACTGATTAGACATTGCCATTGCCATTGCCATTGTATTTTTCAGCTGTACCCATATAACAAAAATCATAATTTTAGCAAATTTCAGAGCCTCTGTGAGAAAAAATTCATGAAAATTTCAAAATATAAAACATGTTTTCAGAAATTGAGATCTAAGAATCTAGAGTAGGACCCTCATAATTTGCAGCGATATATATATATATACATATTAGATAGATATTTATGATATTTTCAGACACACATATCAGAAAATCTGAAAAAAAAAAAAAAAAAATTATTGTCCCTATTGTTCCCTATATCATATTCTCTATGGCTAAGCCTGATCCCAAATGCAATCATCAACCATTAGAAATTTCAAAAGGCCATTTTATTTCTTTATCTTTTCATAATTAAATCAATTAATTTTGAAGACATATATAAATATTCTATTAATTTAGGGTTTATGTCTTAAAAATAATAATTTGGTAGGTCCCATTTTATTATTATAATTTATAATATTGAATTCATAAATTAAAAACAAATTTCACATAATTTAATTATGCCAATTCTCTATATTATAATGCAAAACGGCTTTCACTTGAAAAGGAAAAGGGTAAAAAATAGGCGAAGGCATAAAGTTAATAATTCGTGGGGAAGGAAAATCTTGCAATGAAGAGTAATTATTAATATTTTTAATTGAATTAAGCTGACTTCAATCCAAAATTACTTTATGTTAAATATTAATTTCACTAATTAAATTAACCAAACGCTTTAATAATCAATCACCCAGAAATTGGAAAGTGTTTAGTGTAAGTTGATTTAAACTACAGTAATTAATAAAAAAAAATATTGAAAAATTAATTATTTTCACTCATTATTCGTGAAAACAATTATTAATTTTTTAATAATTTACAAACCTAAATTAATAAAAATGTTCCATCCATTTAAATATTAACTTAAAATTGTCTCTTTAAATAATTATATTAATTAATTAATTAATTAATTAAAAGCACATAATAATCAAAGAATTAGGAAACATAGAGCTTCTTCCATAAATACAGAGAGAGCGTGCAAACACGACAGACAAACAAAGCAAACCACGTTTCCGCAGGGTCCAATGGTCGGTTGGTAGTCTATTTTCACTTCCATCGTCTTCAACCCTTTTCTCTCCTCACAACCCCCTTCTTCTAATTCCATTACACACCTTCTCAAGAACTCGACAGACCATATCGCTTTTCCTGTGTTTTCCGTCTGATGAGGAAGCTGTGTCCGAACTTGGATCGCGAAGATGGGCTGGAGACGGTCCTCGAGGTTCCGATTCCGGAGGAGATGTTCGCCGCCGGAAACGGCAAGAGCCATCACAACCGAGCATGGCAGAACGTGAAGTCATGGATGAGACCCACGAGTGCTACAACGCACCAGACGGAGAGATCCATAGTTGCAGCTGCTCTGTTCGGAGGACGCAGCACAGAGATCCAGCTTCTTCTCGGCGTTGTTGGTGCCCCTTTGATTCCTCTCCCGATTCAAACCGATCACGATGAACAATCCACAAGAAACATCAAAGATCACCCCATTGTAAGTATAGACCCTCTTATCCCTCCACGAGTTTTCCTTAAAAAAAAAAACAGAGGACGTCCGTCAGATATAACATCGATGGCTCAAGGTTTAGTTTGAGATTTTAGGAACTTGAGTTTTTATTTTAGACAGAATCTAATCATAAATCGAGGTTCTATCTGGAATTTGGAATCTGGATTTTGATTTTTTTTTTTTTTGGTGGGTGTATTTGCAGGAGGCTTCAATGGCGAAATACATAGTGAAACAATATATAGCGGCGGTTGGGGGGGAGAAGGCATTGGATGGTATAGACAGTATGTATGCAATGGGGAAGGTGAAGATGGCGGCGTCTGAGTTTTCTCACGGGGAGGGAAGTCTGAACAGTAAGCTGGTGAAGACGAGGAATTTGAAGAACAATGGCGGCGGTGGTTGTGGCGGGGAGATGGGAGGATTTGTGTTGTGGCAGAAGAGGCCGGAGCTTTGGTGTTTAGAGTTGGTTGTTTCGGGGTGCAAAATCAGCGCCGGCAGCGACGGAAAGGTGGCTTGGCGGCAGACTCCATGGCACCACTCTCATGCTTCCAGGGGCCCACCCAGACCTCTCAGGCGCTTCTTGCAGGTAAAAAAAAAAAAAAAAAAGGTAGCTTCGACCCATGTGTTATTTGACATAATTTAATAAAAAATAAAAAATAATTCAAATTTTATACCCACAAATAATAAACTAAAAATTGTAGGAAATAAAAACTATTTAAACGAAAATAGTGTGAGAATTAAATTGCGAACACCACATATAATCAAAGATTTCGTTAAGCCAAGAGCTAATAATTTGGCATACATGCTTTTTTTTTTTTAAATAGTAATTGTGGCTGATTTTCATGAGGGAATAAAAAAGGGTCCTACTCAGAAATCTTGACTGAAAAGAAACTCTTTGGGTGTAAAATTCATGTTCGCTTTAACTGATTGATTTGTCCACAGTGACTTACTTCTCCTGCCCCACCATTATAAGTTTAGGGTTCAAATAATATATAATTAAAATAAATAGTTTGTCAGTAGATGTAGTTGATCCACCCTATATAAATCTTTTGCTAAAAGGTCAACTACATGGGTCAACCAATCCAGCTATCAAAACCTTCAATCAAGCCAAAATTGATTCCCCCATTCAATTATCCTGTCCTTTTTTCCTAGGCAACAAACACTCAAATTCATTTTGCTCCGACAGGGACTCGATCCAAAAACCACTGCCAACCTCTTCACCAACTCTGTCTGCATTGGAGAAAAAACAGTCAACAACGAAGACTGCTTCATCCTCAAGCTTGAAGCAGAGTCATCAACCTTAAGAGCCCGAAGCAGCAGCAATGTCGAGATTATCAGACACACAATCTGGGGATGTTTCAGCCAAAGAACAGGCCTGTTGACCCAACTAGAAGATTCCCATCTCCTCAGAATCAAATCATCTCATCACAGTGACAGCATCTTCTGGGAGACGACGATGGAGTCTTTGATCCAAGATTACAGGACAGTCGATGGCGTCAACATTGCCCACTCCGGGAAAACATCGGTGTCCCTGTTTCGGTTCGGGGAGAGCTCGGAGACGCATTCCAGGACCAGAATGGAAGAAGAGTGGGAAATTGACGAAGTTGATTTTAACATAAAAGGGTTGTCAATGGATTGCTTTTTGCCTCCTGGTGATTTGAAGACCAACGAAGAAGAAGGATCTTGCGGTAATAGTGATAGTAGCCGTGATAGCATTAGAAACAATATGTTGCCACTGAAGATTATTAGGTCTGGTTCTGCTAGGTTTAGTGTTGCAAAAATAGTTGCCATCGATGACGATGATGAAGTTGATGATGATGATGGATTGTAATTGTAAATGTGAGATCTTTTTTGTACATATATATAACATCATGATGATGAGAGTAGTACATGTAATGTTTTACTTTACTTTCGGTTGAATATGATATGAAGGGCTTTTTGAGTTTTCGAGAATGTATGCTGACATTTTTTCTCCATTTTTTTTTTTCCCTTCGTATAGTTCATATGGCCGATTAATGAAGAGGAAAATTTTTAATTTTTCCCTAGCTGATGAATTTGTTTCATACCAAAATTAATCAAAACCCACCCATCAAAATTTTATTCCATAAAAAGAGGAAGCATGCATCATTCACATTGGAAATTATGATTATTAACAAAACAACTTATTTGATTTCCACATGTACATATATACATACCCTCTTGATTGCCTTCTACCTTGGGCAATCTATACACACAATATCTACACACAACAAGGCACTACATACAAACATATATATACATATATATATGTACGTACTATTTCTTTCGGGAGGCTTCAGTTTCTGCTTTAGCTGTTACATATATATGTATATATTATCATTTTTAGCCAGAGATCTCGACAGACTTGATCGCCGGCTTCTCCTGCTCCACCTCCTTAGGCACAACCACGTTGAGCACGCCGTGCTCCATCGTCGCCTTGATATTATCCATCTTGGCATTCTCCGGCAACCTAAACCGCCGCAAGAATTTTCCGGTAGACCTCTCAACCCTGTGCCACTTATCGTTTATGTGCTCTTCCTCCCTGCTCCTCTGTCCACTGATCTGCAGAATCCTCCCGTCTTCAACCTCCACTTTCACCTCATCCTTCCTCAGCCCCGGCAGGTCCACCTTGAAGACGTGAGCCTCCGGCGACTCTCTCCAGTCGATTCTCACGTTGGCTAAAGCCGACGTCTCTTGCGAAGGAACATTCCCAACGTTGGTTGGGAACTGCATGCCTTCCAAAGGGTCCCATATGTCCAGAGAAAATGGGTCGAAGATGTTACTCCGTCGGCCACCGAAAATGTTCGGAATCAACGCCATTGCCGACTTTCTCTGCGCTTCGTTTTCGTATTTAATTTGTTGGAAAGGGAATGATAAGCAACTAAGCTGCTTCGCAGGACTTGCAGAGAGGAGATTGCGAATTTATATTTATAGAAAGAAAGACTGGAGTCTACACAAATCTGGTCGCAAGCGGTGGAGATTTATTTTAATGGTCGATACCGAGAATGTCGTGGTGGATCATTGACAACTGGATGAGGAAGAGTACACGTGTCGATTCGTAAAAAGCCAAATGACACGGGGCTCTGTAAAAGCCTGGTTGGCTACATGACGTGGCTTTGAGACATGTATATATATATACTCTATGGAGAGCTCGTGATCTTTTATCGTATTGGTCTTGGAGTGTTATGCTGAAAGTCAGAATTCGGTGGTGGAGCGCAAAATTCTTAGATAAATGTTAGATTTATTTAAAATAATTTGAAAAATATATCGAGCGATTACCAATAAAAATTAAATAAGAATTTTTTGTAAAATAATTAAAAGAAAAAATCAATGAGAATTGTCTCTTTAATAAAAATATTGAAATAAAACATATAAAAGACAAAATATATAACGTAAAAGTCTTTTTTTATCCTTACTTAAAATTTAATAAAAATATGCTTTTTACAAAACTTATAATTTTTTTTTTTTAACAAATAAGGAAAAAAGAAAGAAAAAACAAAATAGTATTGGAAAAAAGAAAAGAAAGTAGGGTATGGACCAACTAAGTCCTGGGCCCAAGATTTAAGCCCTGGCCCAATTGGAGTAGACAGTCTGGCTAACTCTCAAAGGACGAGCACGCACCGTCTTGATATGAATATAAATTATTTTATTAAATTAAACATCAATAAACTATGACAATTATAATTCTTTTTTCTTTTTCTTTTTTTTGAACTTTTATGTAATTTAATTTTATACATTGTTACTTTATTAGATTTAGATGTTTAAACGGTGAGGATGCTGAGAGCAAACAAAATGGAGTTTCTATAATGAACTTCAAATTATTTTTAATCAATTTTTTACTAATTATCTTTATTTTAATTAAAAAAATTAATTATTATAAAATAATTTTTTTATTTAAAAACGTAACACTTTTGATGTCGATGTAATAATGAATTAAATTTTTAATAGAATGCACTTTTTTTATGTTTTATATTTTTATATTTTTTTGACAATAAAGAATTTATTTAACAAATTTATTATCTTAAAAATTAAGTCAAAATATAAATTATTTTTTGGATAAATGGAAAAATCCCATAAAAATCAAATTATAACCAATCATTTTTCATTTAGAAAAAGAAAAAGAAAAAGAAAATAATTTTGAAGTTGGTTTTTGTCGCCACAAATTATTCAAATTGGATCACTTTTGAATTAAGAGGAAAAGATGAAATCAAACTTGTCGTCTTCCTCCTGAAGTCATTAATTGCGTCACCTTTCATGATCCTAATATAACGAACACAAGCTTATTCAAGTTATATGCATATACACACACACACACACATATGATACATGAAGCTAAAAAGTCAAGTTTGTGGGACTCCTATAAACCAGAGAACCACAAACCTTACTCATTACTTCCCATTAGAAAGGCCAGAGACAAAGCTCGTACAATCTCCCAAATAATGGACCGCCATTCTTTCTCTTCTCCCCCTCATCCTCATGTACTCATCTTTCCAGTTCCTGCGCAAGGCCACGTGAACTCCATGTTAAAGTTGGCAGAGCTTCTGAGTCTCGCCGGAGTCAAGGTCACCTTCGTCAACTCCGTCTACAATCACGACCAACTCGTCCGCCACACCGACATTGTCGACCGGTTCTCTCAGTACCCGGGGTTCGAGTTCCGCACGGTTTGGGACGGTCTGCCTCTGGGCTCCGCGAGAAAGGGGGAGAAATTCATGGCGTTGTTTGCTTCCATGAGATTGAACACGAAGCCTCTGTTCAGAGAACTGGTGGTGGGTGCTCAGCCGCCGATTGATTGCATAATAGGAGATGGAGTCTTATCCATTTCCGCACTATTAGTGCTTGCTGCTTCTGGGCTTATTTTTGTGTTCCTGATATGGTTGCAGCTGGTGAGCTTCCGATTAAAGGTACGTTAATGGCGAAAACGAACCTTCAGTAATATATAAATTTGTAATATGTTAGTTTTCTTACTACAAATTGTAACTTAAACTGAAGGAAATGAAGATATGGATCGGTTGATAACAACAGTCCCAGGCATGGAGAACTTCCTGCGATGCAGAGATCTACCAAGCTTTTGCAGGGTAAGCGACGTGGAAGACCCGATTCTCCAGATGATAATAACCAAGACCCGACGAAGCTCTCAGGTTTCTGGTCTGATATTCAACTCGTTTGAAGAACTGGACGGACATATCTTGTCAAAAATCCGCGAACACTGCCCAAATATTTACCCCATTGGTCCTCTCCACGAACACTTAAAATCAAGAATGATCTCGGAGAAGATGAAGCAGAAGACGACCACGAGAAGTTCTTCTTCTTCTCCGTCTGCAAACAGTTTGTGGGAGATTGACAGGAGCTGTATCGAGTGGCTTGACAAGCAGCCAATGCGTTCTGTTGTGTATGTGAGCTTCGGCAGCGTTGCAGTGGTGACAAGGGAGAAGTTAATGGAGATTTGGTACGGCCTTGTCAATAGCCAGCAGAGGTTCATGTGGGCTATACGGCCGGAGTCGGTGATTGATGGGAATATTCCGGTGGAGTTAACCGCCGGGACAAAAGAGATAGGGTATATAGTGGAGTGGGCGCCACAGGAGGAGGTTCTGAGTCATTCAGCGATTGCTGGGTTCTTGACACACAGTGGGTGGAATTCTACTCTGGAAAGTATTGCCGCCGGTGTGCCGATGATCTGCTGGCCTTACTTTGCTGATCAACAAGTGAATAGCAGGTTTGTGAGTGAGGTGTGGAAGGTTGGTGTGGACATGAAAGATGTGTGTGACAGGAGAGTTGTGGAGAAGTTGGTGAGGGATTTGATGGCGGAGATGGAGGTGAGAAGATCAGTGTTGGAGAAAATGGCTAAATTGGCCAAGGACAGTGTCAGTGAAGGTGGCTCCTCTTACTCCAATTTGGACCGTCTGATTCGGGACATGAGATCAATGAGTTGGCAAAACAGAGAAGCACATCAACATTTGAAATAATGGTTCATTTATGAATCAGAAAATTTTCATAAGAATTCTTCTCGTAAATCTATTAATCCTATGTAGAATATTTGTCAGAACAGTTTAAGTCTGGTATGCAAACAAATTGATGACATGAAGTGTTCTGAAAATCTACAATGATAAAAATATAATCAACCAAGTTGTGTAAAGATCTGGAAGAAGACCCATTTTCTTGAGAACTAAGATTCACCTTCTTCTTCAAGGCCTGATTTCTTGCTCTGATTTCTTCTCCCTCTGCTTCCACCATTATTCTCCTAATAGCTCTTTCCATCTCCTTCCTCTCCATCTTATACTCCAAATGAATCCCAACCCTCCAAACATCACTAACATATCGTGCATTTATCCTTTGATCACCAAAATTAGGCTGGCAAATCATGGGGACCCCAGCACAGATACTCTCAAGTGTTGAGTTCCAGCCACTGCGTGTCCAAAATGCTCCAGTTGCAGGGTGAGCTAGGACTTCCTGTTGAGGAGCCCATTTCACAATGTGTCCTAACCCACCAACAATTTCCATGAACCCGTCTGGCAATGGTTCGATCCAGTCTGAGCCATCTACTAACCCGGGTCGAACAGCCCACAAAAATGGCTGCTTGCTATCAGCCAGTCCCCAAGCCATCTCCAAGAATTCAGTCTCATTGATGGCTGCAATACTTCCAAAGCTCACATAAACCACTAATCTAGGTGCTTGATTGTCTAGCCATGAAATTGTACCATGGTCTTGAAGTAACAAACTGCTCAAAGATGCTGCATTAAATTATAACAACATAATTTCTCGTCTCTGATAAATAAGGCAAAGATATAGGGCAATAATCAATATTAAATAGAGCACATAACCTTTTCAGGAGATACCAGAAAAGTAAAAAATGGAACTATTGGGAAGACGGGAATTGAGAGGTTCTGCCGGCATTTGTGCAATGGAACTTGCTCAAGTTCTTCACAGGATATCAAACTTGAAGAGTAATTGGTTACTTTTTTTATTATACTTGCAGACTGATAGAAACTCTCCGGATCATGGGTTTTAACCACCGGTAAGTCCTTAACTTTCAGCGGTGCAAGCCTTTCAACATCTAATTATAAGTGAGCATCTGAGAGGAATAAAATCTTTTGAAATTTTGTGTGTTAATTGCTAAAAAAAATATAAAATTTGCGTAAACCTTGTATAGGGAGATAGCTTTTTTGTCGTAGAACAGGCAAGGTGTAACGACCCCAGAATGTCCAAAAGAAATACCTTATAAATTAACCACAGAAGCAAAATAAATAGCTAAGGTTTACATTCCTTACACAATAAATTAAAGTACCGAATAGTGTTACGAGAGTTATCCTTTTAAAAGAAATACAAAAAAATAAAGAAATAAGCAGAAAATAAATAAAACTAGCATCATATTCGCAACCCTCTTGTGGATTGGGCTCTGGATCCTGGTTCTCTTGATCTGAAATGGTTAAATAAGAAATGAGCTACATTAGCCCAGTAAAAATATCACGCTACTCACCGACACAGAAATGAAAATTGATAAAAAATCAAAACAAGTAATAGAGCACTTAATTAAACAAATACATTCATTAATAATAAAATCATTTATCGTCCACTTACCGTAGCGAGATTTATAAAAACAACCTATAGAGACAATAACACAACCCTTATCATGATTTTATATGCAATCGGTAACATACACACATTATAATCCATATTCAATAAATCAAACAACAACTGTCTATTTTCATCAGTCTGCTGGTATCCATGGGGGTTCATAGGGATGTTCTCGCTATGCGTGAACCCTGTCCTTTGACATTTTCAATTAACGGGTCGTCTTCATACCCCGTCCAGTATGAGTGCCAAATTATTAAACTTCAATACTCCGTCCGGTATGAGGATGAAATGGACCGTCCTCATACCTCGTCCGGTATGAGTGCCAAATTACTAAGTCTCAATATCTCGTTCGGTATGAGATAACGTTTACGGTAGGGTTTCCTATGGTACCTGGTCCGTCCACCATCTCCCAGGATATCCAGTAAGGATGTCGTTTTATCCACTTACTTAATCACACAATTTTCCGTTTTTTTTCAGTCTCTATTTTTCAATTCAATAGTAATTGTAGCAGCCCCGGAAATTTAAAATAGAATTTATATTATAAATATCAAATGCGGAAGCGAAGTCAAAATTTGAATAACATCCCTTACACTAAAACAAAAAACGTGCTCACAAAATATAAAAGATTAAACTACCTAAAGGAGAAACTTGAAAGTAAAAACTACGAATGTGACTATGGAGTCTTTAGGCGTCCCCTTCGTCATCCTCCTGCGGAACCGGCTCGGGAACGATGTCCTCTTGATCTGAAATGATTAAATAAGGAATGAGCTACACTAGCCCAGTAAAGACATCACGATATCTCACCGTCACGGAGGTAAAGGTGGGTAGAAAATACAAAAAGACCAATTGAGCATAATTTACAACAAATCCTTTTATTAATAATAAAACTTTTACCATTCACTTACCTCGGTGAAATTCATAGAACAATATACGAAAGCAATAACATCATCATCATCATGAAAACATATATATGAACTGTATAACATAATACCTATCAAACTTTTCGTAATTCCATCGTTACACAACATATTTTTCCTAATTCACCAGCCCACTAGTATCCATGGGGATCTATAGGGGTCCCGCTACCCGTTAATCCTTAACACTTGAAATCCATTCCAGGGTCGTCCCCATACCCCGTCCGGTATGGGCGCCAAACCATAGACCTCATTACCCCGTCCGGTATGAGGGTGAAACGGGCTGTCCCCATACCCCGTCCGGTATGGGCGCCAAAACACATAAGATCTCCATACCCCGTACGGTATGGGAGACCACAATCCCGGTAGGGTTCCCTACGGACCGGTCCGTCCACCATCTCTCAGGATATCTAGTCAGGCTGAACACATTATACAACTTCCATTTACATAATCTTTCATTCTCCTTTTCCCTCAGTCAGCATTATCAATCACATACAAACAAGCAAAACGATAATTTATGTCAAACAGACAACATACAGCATCAATATCCCGGTCATTCAATCCATAATCAATAAAACAGTAAAATATGCACACGAAACTATAAAATGAAAACATCGAACCTCATACTGCATTTAAAACTGTAAAACAGGCCAAATAACAGTTAACCGACAAACACACTAGTCTCGGGCTCCATTAGCGACCTTAAGCAATTTCACACATTCGTTGATTCATGAAATACCGTTTTATCATTTATTGAATTTTAAAACCGTGATAGAAAATAGGGTGAGGGGTCCTTACACGTTTCGGGGTCCGAACACGACTTCACAGTGCGCCTACAGGCTGTCCCTAATTTTCCCTGAATTTTTCTCGGAGAACTGAAACGCACTACTGGTACCTGCACGTGTTCTAAAAAATCCCAAATTAGGCCCAGGGCCCCATTCGGCCAATATTGCAACTCCGGCACGGCGGCTCCGCCGTGCTCCAGCTACGGCGCCGCCGCTTGCGGCGGCGGTTTGCCTCGAGTTGGCCGTTTTCGGCCGTTTCCGGCCGAATTCGGCCACACTCGCATTGGTTCCTGCGATAAAACAACCCTACGGCCCTCGAGGGGCCGAAAATTTATGGAAAACTGAAGCTTACCGGCGGCGGTGCTCTCGGGTGCGGCGGCTCTCCGGTGAAGTTCGTGTTTTAGTGATTCGGCTCCGATCAACCTGTAGAGAAAAGAATGGTGATCACGGTGATATAAAAATTGCATTAAACGGAGGCCGGGAAGGGCCTCATCGGAGGCAAAAATCGAGAAGGGGCGCGGCGGCGCCGCTGGCTTTCGGCCGTGTTTTTCGGCCGTTTGGCCAGGATTTTGGCTCCGATTTGGCCACTGGGGAAATCAGCGTGGAAAAACGAGTCGGGGATATGAAATTTACCTCGATCGGCAGTCGGAAATCCCTCCGGTGCGGCGGCGGGTGGCGGCGGCCGGCTTCTGGTTCGTCTTCTCCGGCGAGGGCAAGCAGCTAGGGATTGGGGTCTGGTGTGGGGGTCTTATTTATACCCTTTTGCCTTTTGATCTCAGCCGTCCATTTTGATTTAATCTGGATCGTCCGTTTTTGATTAAATCAGGGCCGTCCGTGCGATTAAATCTGAGCCGTTCGTGCGCACGATTGATCTGGGCCGTCCGATCGCGCGCACACGGATCGCCAACGTGGCCCATCCCCGGTCGACGTGGTTTTGCCACGTGGCAGGTCCTGGTTGGTCAGGCCTGCTGACGTGGCACACATTTTTTTTTTTTCAATTTCTTCAATTTCCCCGGGCGCTACAGTAATCACATAAATCAAACAATACATGTATTCAAAACTATAAAATCGATCATTGAAATACTATCATGCAATTAACTGTAAAATAATTTAACAACATCAACAATAGATAATTTTTTGTTCTGCCTCTATTAGTAACCCGTAATTAATTATGAATATTTTTTAAATTATACAAAATACCGTATTATTATTTATTTAGACTTCAATTTCATAATAGAGAATAGGATGAGAGATTCTTACTCAATTTGATGTTCGAAAAGTTAAGTTATTGACTGTGCCTACTAGCGGTCCTCTAGTTTTCTGAATTTTTCTTCGGGAATTAAAATGCAATATAAGTACCTACAAATGTTCTAAAAATCTAAAATCATTCTTGAAAACTATTTTTGGCCAATTTTAGAATTCTGACACGGCGGCTCCGCCGTGCTCCAGCGACAGCACCACCGCCCGCAGTAGTAGTCCACCTCAGGTCCATTATTTTCAGCTGTTTTTGACCGAATTTGCTGATTTTGCATCAATCCCTGCAAGAAAACACGCTAAGGGATCTCGGTTGGCCAAAAAAATATAAAAAATCGAAACTCACCAGTGGTGGGAATCTCCGATGCAGCGGCTCCTTCAGCTCACGTTGCGGTTTGGTGTTTTGATCTGGTCAACCTGTAGAGAAGGAAACGGTGATCATAATGGTGGAAAAATTACACATAATAGAAATCAAGAAGGGCCTAATCGGAGGCATTTTATGAAATTCCCTGCAACGGCACTACCGAACTTTGCCCGCGATTTCTGGCCAATCAGCAGGTCTTTTTGCTCTGATTTGACCGTGT